AGTGATTGAACGTTTATCTGGTTTTTTAATGATCTGCAGTGGCCTACTAATGTATTAATCCATTGCTACTATCTTCCCAGACATATCGAATTCCAATCTCACCACCTGGGTGAAAGAAAGGCCTGCCATACGAGGCACAAGATCGAACCAGTAATCGGATTAATGTGTATGGAGAGGCACCTTTAACCAGTCTACTACACGTGCTCATAATAATATTCTAGAACTGACTTTCCTTCAACCTAGGCGTTATCAATGAAATAAGGGAAGTCGGTTTTCAAGGACATTACCATGCTTTACACGATGTGATTACAGAATACCTTTGCTCAAAGAAATCAAGTTGCTATTATCGCTATCGATGGGTGATTAGCATACGAACCATCATGAACCACCATATAAGAAAATACATATATACATGTAGAGGTGAATATGTATGTAAGTATATATGCATTTGTATATAAATGTATATATATCATATATATAAATGCACATATATGTACATGCATATATACCTATACATGTATATATGTATATGAGCAATTTGTCGGCCGGGGTTCTCATTCCAGCGGTGCTCCAAAAAAAGAAGATTCGACTAGAATGACAGAGAAGACAAGAATCCACAACAAGGACGCTAGACTGAGGACAGAAAGTCTTGAATCATCAGGTTCTGAAAGAGACAAAGGTGTTAGGACATTAGCCGAACGAATCTTATTTACCGAACTTAACCATAAAAGAAGCTCTTAATAGTATTTTTACGTCCACAAAAATCATTGTAAAGGCAAAAAGAGTCGCACATCATCGTAGGTTGTTGGACATCGCTTTGCAAGGTTTATGAAAAAGATTATTCAAAAACAAAAATTAGATGGAAAATCCACCTCCAAAACTGTAGAGTTGGCTTGACCTTCTGGTAATGTAATGCAAAGTGACAGTAAAAAAAAGAGAGATGTGACGCTTGCCAGTGTTTCAAACGAGAAAATCGCTACTTATTTTAATTAATCTCTCAATATCTTACGTGACCACAAATCACCTGCTCAAAACCATCACTGCCAAATAATCACAGACAATGGTGGAAAAGTTTTGTACAAAATTCATGCGTAAAAGTTATCGCCAATGCTGGTTTGACTAGCGTAAGATTGAATTCACTTGGAAGATGAACGAGGATATCCCGAATCACGTAGGCATTCCCCTGTCAACGAAAGTGAAGAGAAGATCAAAAAACCAGACTAATTATTATTCCGAACATCAAATTGAGATTAGCGCCTAGAGCTATTCAGTGGACTTATCCAAATTCTCCAAAACTTCACCATCTAGAAGCGAACTCTGCAAGATTTTTCTAGCAATGTGCAACATAATTTAAGAAGCTCAAAAATTGGAATCCCATCTCACCAACGTCAATCGAAACAAACTTAGCAAATCTTGTTTAACTTTTTCTTGCTAAAAAATCTTTTGGAAATCAGATATCCAATTGAAGACAGCACATTGATCGTGACCAAAGAGGAGAATCAGGTTTTCGAAAGGTTTACGTGACAAAGATGATTTCTCAAAATCAATATGTAAGGTAGAGATTCCATAGGAAGATACTGTAAATGTAAAATACCATTTGGAACTATATTGGAGATTTATAGTCAGAAACAAAGATGGACGGGACTGACCTTTCACAATTTTTGCTACAACTTAGCAAAAAAAAAATTGTTAGGAAGATAATGACCCTCTTCCATATTTATAGTCGCAAATATTAAGTATAGAAGATGAACATCTTGAGAGTAAGAGAAAATAACTACTTGCAGGCATGAAGCCCCCGTGACTGAAATTCTATGACCGAAAGATAGGGTTACAAGCGCAATTCAGCAGAACTTGATGTCACTTTCACGACTGGTATGTTTTATGAAGAAATTCTTCTCAATCACACTACCACGTCGCTGAAAAGACAGTATTAGTGGTATCTTCTAGGCAATCGTCATCTAAGAGACCAAATATTAGCGAATTCAAAAGACAAAAAAGGCACAGTCGAGTTTAAATTGTAAATTGACAATTCCCAGAACAACTGCTCAGAAATAAATGGAACTCTTACTGCAGGCACATGTGTTCTCATCAAAAAGAAAATTACACAAAATGAAATTCAAGAATCTCGATGGGAAACTGGATGACTGGAACAAGTTCAGCAATTAAGAGAGTTATGAGTGCATATGAATGATCGAGAGAGAATCGATCATCTTCCTCTTCCGCCCAAGCAAAATGTTTAGCACTGTATAGACAGAAGAGGTGGGAAAATCTCCTGATTTCCGACAGTTTTGTTCTAGAAGTATTTCAAATTGAGAACTAGTTATACGAGGATTTGAAAAAAATTGCGAGGTTTGGACATAAGAGACGAATGCATGTTCAAGAAGAAGTGACGTCAAGTAGAATTTTTAAAAATCCAGATGACATATGAAGAGGCTCTAATTTTAGATAGAGAAGGAGAGGAAGGTGGACCTGTGGCCGAATGGCTGATAATGCTCAGCGTGGTTTGACGCGGGACTGAACCTTAACGCGTCGTAACACTCTCCGGCATCAATAGCGAACACCCTACAAACCGCCGAGCCTGGCTATCCTCAAGACTGAAGAAAACGTGCATGACCAGTATTCTACGACATCCGTGAAGAAGATGAAATTCCCAAGCAAACGAGGAGAAGAATCTAATGCTACAGTACTGGGATCCGCACAGTAATAAAACTGGGATACGAATCAAATAAAGAGTTAAGTAAAGCAAAGTGAGAATAATCTTAGCATTCGATACGTTGTTCAGCGCCAATCTTGTTCGATCCAACATGTTCAGAAGGATACATTAGGGATCACTGTCATACGAATGAAAAAGTTCCCTAATGAACCAGCCACACCTTCTCAGTTCATATGTGAAACTGTTTAACTGACATTTACATTATAAGAAAAGACCCTCCTAATAATCACACCGCAATTTCTCAGACCATAGGTAGAACTTATAGGGGATGGAAATTCATCTCATAAAATACTTGGTCATATTTTTGAGAAACAATTATCCCCATGTTAGAATACTTGAGTAAGCAAACACTGAATAAATGCTCATACATCAACAACAGAAGAGGAACAGAACAAGATAGAGACAGAAGAAAATAACTCGCTCGGCGCTTTACACAAGCTGACGACGCCAACGCAGGGCAGCTGCTGTGTGCGCTTGCAATTTCTTCCTCACGACACCGCGGCGATCGTCTGGCTGGCTAAGAATGAGGAAAAGATAGGAAGATGAGGGAAACAACTAAATAGAAATGATTATGAATGATTTCGAGAAAATAAAAAATTGTTGTTAGAATCTTCTTTGTGCAATGTTATGTATTAGTATATAAACTGAAAGGTGAAGGTGCAAGTCATTTCTCGTAGGTATTTTAAAATTGATGGTGAATTTAGCTAAAATCCTGCATTGAAAAATTTCAGCGTTACAGCGCCTAATTCGGAATAGTATCCGTTTCCTCAGAGAAGACGATCGTATTGAACATCTAATTGAGAACAAAATGAGACTGTGAGCAACTTTCGGCTGATAAACCCAGTTTGAGAAAGTGAACAGAAGATACAAATGAAGATCATGTAATCGGTCATTGAAGAAAAACTCGTTTCCACCATAAAAACGTTATCAATAACTCTTCATGAAACCATCACACAACATCATACAATACAATGGAGACCAAAAAAAAACAACCATGTATTTCCAGATGATTGCATTGTCCAAATACCCACCCACTAACATCTGGCATACTTCTAAGCTAAGTTTTAGAGATTTCCATAACTACAGTGACATTTTATAATTTCTAAGCCAACGGATAACCTTCAAGTGCGAACTTCGAGCCGATTGGCCTTTTTGATAAGTTTTATGTCTCCAAATGCCATGTGGGAATTCAGAGATGCCAAAGGAGACCAGATGATTACATTGTGAAAGTGTCTACATCGGATGGGTTTCCTGTATATGCGGCGCCGAATTGATTTGTATTCTGTGTCTATCGTCATATTGACACATACACACGCAAACATTTGTATATATATATATATATATATATATATATATATATGTATATATATACGTATGTATGGAGCATTGTAGGTTGGAGTGTATGCGTGTGCATTGCATCCTACAGTTCGAACACCACCTCAATAAAATCACTAGAAAGTATCGCGAAAGAAGTTGAAAGTTCCGAACAAACTCGACAAACTATTATGAGTACATTCATTCTAAGTGGTAAACTCCGCAGCTAGTCCAGAAAAGCTCACCAAGCTTTTGACAATATATTCAACAGAGCCAAACGATCTACCGAAAATTACTATCTCGCTGAAAGAGTGAGAACAAAGCGGGTCATTCGAAAAGTGTGATACTCGTGATGTTCTTCAAATTAATAGATCCCATTACGTAAATCTGATGGGCGACATGGGCGAATGGAGACTATACGTATCGGCTCAATTAGTCAGAAGATGAGTAATTGGATTACAAATCACGCAGACGACGCTGTAAAATAATGTAAGCAATAAATTCAACATCTTCATCTCTAGAGATATTCACTGTTACTTTCATTTGTAATCCTTATAGAATTTCAAGCAGTTACCATCGGCAAAGAATTTTTGAGATGTTTATAAAAACTCAGTGCTAAAAAAGCAAAAACCAATAATTCCTTTCGTAGGTGACCTCCATATGCTAATGAGCTGACCAAATTTCTTCTTACTTCATCAGACTTTTGAATAGACGTAAATGTAAAAACAGTACTTTTCTAGATTCAGAGATTGATCAACACCAGGAATCACCATAACTAAGAATGAAATAGGGAGTACCGACATCATATGTGAAGCAGCCATCATATTATCCTCGCCACTTTTAGATCTTACATTTTTTCATCAGAAAATCAGATCAACAGTTTCTGCAGTGATTATCAATTCAGACTGCAATTTTTTGCAGTGTTATTATGTTTCATAAATACCTCGGAGAACTGAGTGGTGAGCAAAAACATGGCCTCAGACGGGAATCGAACCCGCTTTGCATCCTATCACGGGACGTGTGCTCTACACCACACCACCGAGGCACATTTGCGCCACCACTCATTCCTCAACATCTCTATGTCAGCTATCAGTCACCAACCTTTAACAGGTTTCGCTCGGGTATGCGATTTCGCTTTATAAACCAAGTTGAGCTGACAACCATTCGATAAGTGATGCTCGAAATTTTTAGTGATTTTACTGCATATTTCGCAGTGTTATGATGTTTCATATACACCTAAGAGAAATGAGTGGTGAGAAAAAAGGTGTAGTACTAGGGCACACGTCCCCGGATAGAACGAAATACGGGTTCGATTTCCGCCGAGGCCGTGTTTTTGCTCACCACTCAATTCTCTTAGGTGAATCAGACACATTTACTAAATCAGCGATTTCTGAGGAACATCATAACAAAAAGACAAGGCTCTCGGCGTTGATTAATCGTTGAGGGACGCGCCATGTATTCGTCTTCAATTTTTTACTTTGTTTGAGGTGATTGAATGCATTTTTGGCGTTTAGAATGACTTGCGGAGGCCTTCCACTGAAACCGAGTCAGTGCTGGTTATTTTCCCAGACAAGTCTGAGATCAGTTTGGTACCAATACACCGAACCCGGAGGGATGAATGGCTTGGTGAACCATGAGTGCGAGATTGAACCACTGACCTCGACGCAGAGCACCTCTAACCACTGCGCCACATACGCTTTCATCATATAGCAGCGAATCCAGATAAAAAGGCAAAAACTATAGATAGCACGATAATTTACGTTATGGTGGATTCCTGCCCATCTGAAGATTTTCTTCATATCTTTTTACGAGTGATTGTTGATGTACTTGATTAGAACGACCTCAAGAAGAAAAAAAAAGAGAAAGTGATAAGATAAGGGCTACAAAGGCGGAATTGAGTAAAACCTCACAAAGCGGATAAAGGATTTCACAGGGCTAAAGGCGAAAGAAAGGTTTTGAAGTAAAAAAGTTTTTGATCATGACAGTCAAAATTTAAGCAACAAACGATACCATCTCTTGCGCTTTTACAGTGAAAAAAAAAATTGGCACAGTGCATACTTTCCTATAGCCTACACAACATATGCAATCAGTCGAATTTCGATTGATAATTCCATTCTTCCAAAAAGAATCAGCTCATCTGATTGAGTCGAATTTTGCGATTTGGCTGAAGATTTTGTAAAACGGTTCATTAATAAAAAAAAACGACTGCGTGCTATTCTAGCGAAGAAAATTGACGCCGTCATTGTCTACGCAAGCAGGTAAAAAGCTTAGAAGCTCTCAGAGAGAAAAAAGTTCTTGTTAGAAAGGAGTAAGGAAATGTTCAAAAAGCTTCTCTAGGTGACAAGAGTTTTAGATGAATGAAAGTTCAAAATGAAATTTGCTTTGTGCATTCATTAACATTTCTTCATAACTCCTCACAAACTTGTTTTACAAGGAATCCATACAAGAAAAAATGAAGAATCCGGCGGCAATCAATCCTTGGTAGATGGATTATGCATGTCCTGCATTCAGAGCATTGCAGAGCTGTACGAATGCTGCATAATCTGCCTAAAATCACTTGCAGAAGTTTCCTAGATATGTAAATGTTCTCTGCAAACGAAATCAGTATTTCCATCCTCCAGGACCCGCTTTACGGCAATTTAATAAACTCGAAGGGTTGGAAGATTGAGTAGCCAGGTGGTGCCAACCACCATCTATGGGCATCACACAAGCACTTTTGATCACTGCTCTACTATAACATGGTTATGTAAAACGACCATAGAGAGCAATTTACATAGCAAAAAAAAATCAGAACCTGATATGTACATTCCATTGCTTCATAAAGGATGACAGGAACAAAAATTGAGAAGTGCTTCACGTTCACGTTCTCACAACGAAGGAAGTCGAAGGAACAACAGCTTAGTGGACCTGTAGACTCATTGTCTACCAGTTATTAAGTAAATCGACAATTACCAGCTGAGAAAATGATCAGCACCTACGCGACTGCTATGATGTAAGTGGTTTCAAAAAACAGAAAGCTACAGAAATCCAAGAAATTCATGGAGATAGGAATAAGAAAGTTTCCAAAAACTATTATATCGCTCGTTTCGAGTGTTTTCTGAAGACCACGCTCAAATTTACAATTGTTTCGGCCTTGCAGCTTCGTCAGTTCCACAGCGCCTTTTGTCTGAGCCAATGCCCCTTAGGGGAGAAGCCCCTTACATAGAGAAAATCCGGACGCAATATTTACATGCGCCGTTGAGTGGTAAAAGTCAAATCACTCTGAAGAAGGCGACAAAGCCGAAATGTCAGCCATCACGATTACGTCCATTGTACTATGTCATGTGTACCGAATAAATATTCAACTTAACAACCTCGCCTTGCTGAATAAGAAAACCAAGGAGATATTCAATCAACGCTGAGGTTAACTGATAGTCGGTAATGGGAGTTGCTTCAAGATGAACAGCAAAAAAGTCATTCAACTGAAATCAAAATCATAGAAACAAAAGCTCAATCAAATCAAAATATCAAAATAAAAATGATTTTTGTCACTTAACGACCAATTTTATTACGTCTCCGCTTTCTCAATGTAAGGGGGTCCTCCCGTAAGAAGGATTGGTTGAGACGAAAAGCACCGTCAACTGACGAGGCTGCAAGGTCGAACACGTGTAGTGCACTGCATAAATGCCATAGCAGACCACATGCATGGCTCAAATAAAGAATTATCAGGCATAGTTCAAGAACTGTTCCACGAACAAAACAAGACGCAATCTCTTCAATGAATACGAAATAAGTTGAAGGAATTTCAGTCTAGAGGACCTCTAGACCGATTGTGTACCCGTTTTGCAGCCAAATCGACAATTAGCCGCTGAGAAAATGATCAGCAACTACGCAACTGCTGTACCGCAAAGTGGTTTGAACGACAAGGGAGCTTCAGAAATTCGAGGATTTTATGGTGACGGGAAATTTGAGACTTTGTTGAAAAAATTTTGAAATCTAACAATTTCCATCCCAACTAATAAAATCTACCACGAATCAAAGTACGAACATTCAAAGCTGGCAATATGTCACCAACATGACTCTTTGTACGGCAGCCTAAAACTCATGGTTTCAATCGTCTGCGGTTATGAATTGTAGAACATATGGACGGATTTCATTGAACTATGAAAGCGAAAAAAGTAAGAAAAAAACAGAAGAACGAAACGAATATTGATCCATAAGGCCACATGGCTGGGATAGACGAACGAAATTATTTCGAAGAATGTGAAGGAACGACAATACAATGCTTTGTGAATACTGTTAGATACAACAACGCAGAATACAAAACTGATAACGCTCAATCAGAATTTCCTTGAAATGATGGAAGACCAGAACAACTTGGGAAGAGCGAAACACTTTTATCCAGTCGTGGTGTAGCAGTAAAACTCCGAAAAAAGACCGAAAATCAGAAAAATCAGTTCAGTTCATAAATTCAATAACTCTGCACTAAACAAAAGCACTCAAAATAAATCGCAGACGGTTTTCTAACATCTACAAAATTGAAAATAAGGATATACAAAGGGATAACCTTTTTTGTACAACACCTGCAGCGACAAATATCAAAAAGTGAAGAAAATTTGTGAGCGAATCTTTATAGAGCAACTTTTTAGACAGAAACTAAAGTACTGAGGCTAAATTGCGACTGTGGGAAATAAAATGATCCGAAATGTAAAGCATCCAGCACATACAATGCTGCTCATTATCATTAGTATTTACATCAAATCAACAATTTATCGATGTAGAACGATCGAGTAGATGAATAGAGAGAAAAGAAAGCGTATCAAAGTACAATGTTTGTCTTAAAAGCAACATTTGATACGACAATGATATCGAATCTACAGAATAAATCTGGTGAAAATTTTCCGTTTCAACCCGACTAAGTAAGTCTTCAATTAGCGGGCAACACCTTTCGTCCGCGCTTGGGTTCACATGTGGCAAAGCTTTTACAGTATAGAAACCGTACAGTTGAACTGTTATCTTCTTCCAAACGGCACCGTGATCGATTTTCGCAAGCGGCGCGCAATAATCATTATTTAATGAGAATATATTTCTCTTCGTTCCAAAAAACTCCACTTTTTTGAATTATTCTGATACTCCATAATTTTCTCTGCACGCTCATACACTCTTTGGGCATATATGACTTTACGTGAGAAGAAAACTGCGAATGTAGAACGTAATCTTATTTTTGCTCGTACATCACGAAAATTTTCTTAAAAAAAGGGATTTAGCCTGGAAATTGTCGAGATTTGCGCTATCGAATAAGTATTAGTAAAGCCTAATGGAAAGCCATCCAAAGCCCATAACCGTGCAAACAAAGCACTCGAAGTGTAGAATATAGTTCTATTTTCGCTGCTATAGCTCATTAAAAAAGCGTTTTTGATAAATGGGCACAATGTTGTAAACGCCGAGAATTATGCTTTCGAAGACTACTTAAACTCCAATAAAAAGCTCTCTCCCAGTGAGAAAATACCCATAAAATGTTGAGGATCAGCCATTATCATAAATATTATTATCAAATCAACATATTATCGATACAGAACGATCTAGTGCATGAATAGAGAACACAGAACTCATCAAAGTGAAGTTCTGAGGAACTGTTTCAAGCCCTTTCGAGGATTTGTTCGTTAGGTGACTTACGTACATTTCGGCGGTCTCGCCCGCCCCACCAGGGTCACACGCCACTGACATAGCAAAGCTTGAAAAGGCTTGGAACACTTTAATAAAACATATCGAAATTTGATGAAGAAGTTCTGAGAAAGCAGTTGAATAAAAGTCCAAGTAAGCAACATTCAAAACGATAATAATCTCCGATCTCCAAAAGTTATCTGGTGATAATTTCCTGTTTCAGCATGACTATGTGTCTTCCAAAAACGGACGGCACCTTTTGCCCGTCTTGGATTCACGGACGAAAAGCCCTGCAGTATACGACACTATGAAGTTGGATTGTCACGTCTAAGAAGATAAAAAGAACTTTGAGAATTTCAGAACGCCGCCCTTAGCCCCTACAAATTCATCGTCCCAAAATAAACTGGAAAAACAAAGTTCCTAAGGAGCTGGCACGTCGTGGACTTATTAGTAGGCCTCTCTCCTACATCTCTGGATCTAAGTTCACACTTGGAAAACGCTTAGAAATTGACATATCTCAAGATTGATGACTGGAGTCGAAACAGGTTATCGATCGGGCATAAAACAGCTAACGAGGACATGAGTCATCCAGAAACGGACGACCGGGTGAGAGCGGACGTTTTTAGTCGAACACGACAGACACACCCCCCACCACGCACACACACACACCACACACATCCACAGAGAGGCCGCAATCAGAAGACGAGTGGCCAGACAGCACAGAGTGGCTAGTGGTTGGTCGACGACGGAGAGCCGAGCCAATGGAGAACGGCGGAGGTCCTCGTCGGTGGGTGCTTGTTGGCTCTCGAGGTCATCTCCGGCAAATGACCGTCGTTGTCGGCTCGATGAATCGCCACTTGCGACGAAAGCCGTCGGCGATTTTCAGTGGACATTTCGTCGTCATTCGAATGGTCGGGCATCCATGAGATCGTAAACGCTTGAGCCTAATGGAAATAGATTTCCGCCAATGTTAATGATATGCAAGACTTCGGACACCAGGCGAGAATCGAACCCGCACACAGCTCACACTTTGCGGGGGCGCGTGCTAACCAACTGCGCTACCAACGCTCCTCTTTTGCCATGACTGCTTTCTGCGACAAATACACTGATGTGTCTACAAAGTAGTAGGAATTTTTCATTTCGCAGCGTTTGCATATTCTCAACAGACAGAAGTAGCGATTCTATCGCAAAAAATCCTTCTTTCTTCTTTGGTAAGTACTAAGCGAGGTTGTTACAATACGATATGTTCAATAAGCTCACGTTTCGGCGCTTTCGCCTTCTCCACAATCCGGACCTGGAAAGATCAGGTTGCTCATAATCAGTCACCCAAATACCCCTATCACTTTAAGCGAAAAAGGCACCAAACTCAGATTTCAATCGCATCAAGCGCAAAATAATTTTCCAAAATCACCGCTCTTTGTTTGTCTATCACTAAGTTGCCCAAATAGAGACTAGCCGTGCAGGATCACATAACTACAGATTTCCTCCCAGTTTAAAACGGCAGTTTTTTGTACTGTGCGGTGCCACGTTTGATAGCGGGGCATTCCTCCCTGCGATCCATGCTTAGACTGATGATGCTTATCCAAAGCCCTCCTAAAATTTTAGGCGCCAGGCGCCGAGGTTTTATGTTCTTGTGTAAGGATGGTGTCTTCACTTCAAAAACTCATACGGGAGTGATAAGAACAAGGGCATCGCTGGTCTAGTGGTAGCGCCGCGGAATGGGTGTGAAACGAGGAATAAACTCCCGCCTGATATGGAAAATTGTGCATTTAATTCAGTATATCTGGATATGGAATTATAACACTAGCACAGTGTCAAAAAAGCGGGCTAGGAAAGAATTTTCACAGATCATGCTCAACCTAGTTAATGATGGTGACTTTAAAAAGAAGATACGGAACCAGTTTTAAATTCTGTGAAGTCTTACCGAGTGGACTTTTCTCCTCATGAAGCATTAACAAAAGAGTTTATTACTTCAGCGTTAAGTGCTACTGCTATGAAGAGCGGTTAGCACATTTGGTAGCAAGTCCGTTGATTGTGCGAAAGCTCCAATCTACTCAGATGCTGAGCAGCACCTCGCAACGGGTCCACCAAGCCTTTCATCACTCCCGGTCGAGAAATTAGTGCCAGACTTGTCTAGTACAATCTCAGTTCCTCTAATCCGCGTGGGAACACCCTCGGCACGGCTGTCTCAATATTCCATAGGGACTCGACTCGACCAGCGTTCATCGACATTTATTATGAAAACAACAACGAACTTCTCAAGTTTTAGCCGAAATATGGCGCAGAAAAGCTTGAATATCTTCGTAAGTGCTTCATAAGAGGGAGGAATTAAATGCGAGAAATGATAGTATCCGCGCAGTGTGATGAGAAAAATTTAAAAAACCGGGTGTAGTATCAAAGATGATTGCAAGCTAGTTGTAATACGACAATTAACTGATATTGATTCGCTATAGCAGAATCGATATTTAGCACGAATCAGTAGAACGCTCTAAGTCAATGACTCGGATACTGTTCTCAATGTTGATGACACTAGTTGAATGGATGGCTGACTAGCTGGTCGGCCAGCTGGGCAGCCGTACGTCCGGCTGGCGTATTGACCCCGCTTCTGGTGCTTAGGTCAGATTGTTTGCCAAATGAACGCACACCACTAAGAATCTAGTGTTACATTCACCGAGCGAACCCGATGAAATTATTCTTCTGAAGTACCCTTTGGTTGATCTTTGAGTAATTCCTTTCTTATGAAACAATCACATTGTCATACATCCGTCGCTTTTGTATTTTGAATTCTCATTCCACATTGGACTATGATGGCAAGAATGGAGCCTGCAACTAAACTGCCATTGAAACGAAGACAATTATAGCTTTTCTTGATGACACAGGTTTTTGTTAATGTTCGACAAAAAAAACGCTGAAAGACGGCCGGAAATAAGCAGCTCAAACAGCTATTGATAGTTGCCCTCAAATTTCATGCAGTGAGACTATATATTGATATGAACTTCCTGGAAACGATCGTAGCTTCCGAAGTGTTTAAAGAAATGAGTAATTCACTAATACACGGCAAATTATTGTCACTGAGACGAAAATGACCGTGCGGACCGTTTCAACTAAAATTCTTCAAATATGAGTAATAGCATCTTACCAAGTGTCAATTTCACTTGTTTCTCATTTTGACTCATTTGAGTGAAGCAGGCTCTGGCGTGCGAATTTCTGATGGAAACATCTAAGCAATTCTGACGGAAAACACAGCGGCAAGCTAATTTTGGAGCAGAGAAAGTATGAAGCAACATAAAAACTAGAAACATTAATGAGTAATTGTTTTGTAAGTGTTTGGAGTAATATCAGATGTGTTCCGCTTCGGAAGCAACAAAGTCGCTGACTTCCCTGCCAAAAATAGATGAATGACCCATCCAGAGATAGTAGTACGCCTGAGCATAATTAGGGTGATATCCGACTCTCATGAACATCGCCTTCTTTCGATTTATCTAAAGAACGACCTTATCTATTCTGACCCCAATATCGATTAGCATTTATTTCGTTAGACTAATGTTTGATGCCAGAAGAGCACTGTGTTGTCAAAAAAAGCGGGCAAAAAGCACTCCCAGTCATCAGCTTTCTTTGTTATGTTGTTCTCTGATTTCTCAATATGATAAAACTACTATGTAGGAGCATTTAGCCTCCTAGGAGACTCGATCGAAAACCTCGATTAGTTTCGTAATAATATGATTCTCACCAACATTAACGAATCCTTTCCATAATCGATGCGACTGTCATTTCTACAATTTTTCATGAATCATTTCGAGGATGACTCTGCTTTGACAGTTTTTAGAGGACAGTCAGACAGCATATTGCGTAATGGACGGCGATGTTATGTCTTTTGGTAAAAACATGGTCCCAATGAAAACGTAGCATGTTTTTCATGCACTGATGAGGATTGGTGATAAGACAATGAACGTCAAGTATTTGGGTGCGGTTTTTCGGAAACAGGTGTTGTGCGCTTCTTTGTTGATGAGATGGCTTATTAGATTCCAACAAAGAGAACAGCAGGGATGATATATCCATGTTGTCCGATTGACATAAATACAAGTTAACGTGCCTGTCGTAGAAATTATAATAGCGATAGTGAGTGACATTCTCCATTTCATGCGAATGTAGGCCTGTGTCATCTGCTAGTCTAGGAAGGATCTCCCCGTTACTATAATCGACAAGTTTCTGACAGTTTTGATGATACTTTTTCCATCTAAAACATTCGACAACTCCTGCTACTCCTTTTTGTCTGAAATTTTCTTTTACTTCTTTTCCCTGAGAGCCTCAATCACCTCAGATGTAAGCCTCTATGAATAATAATTATATTACTAAATATAATAGTAGTAATGGCAATGTTAATAGTGATAACAGTAATAAATATAATAATCTTATCAATATGGTTAATATCAGTAATAAATTGCAATAGTAATAGCAGTTGTAGTAATAGCGGTATAGTATTGCTGATGATGTGATCACTCAAGTTGGCTGAAGATAATCTGGCCGAAATTCCTTATTTTCAGCTTGACAGGACGAAATTCCTATATTTGGGAGCCTTTAGGAAGTATTTTGCCTCTGGTTTCATTCTGGATTCTCGTTCGAAAGTTTCCAAAAGGACGTGCGAATAAGATAGGAAACAGTGATATTTTTGATGAAAACGGTGTGATGAAAACGATCGATGCATGAAAGACTCTCTCATCTAGAAGTGCATTGAAATTTCCAGTCCTCTTGCGCACCTATAAATAATGTTAAAAGTTATCGAAAAACCAGTATGTGCCCAAGAAATGATGTGCTAAGCTTTGTGACACTGTTGTGTTCAAAATCATATCAACTACTGTCAAGATCTCTGCGAAAACCACTGACCAACCGGATGATCGTGATTGACCGAGTCGAATGAAGTGATAATTCCCCTCGAGTTGAGATTAACCAAATAAGAACTCTTTATATAAACTCAATATTTGTATGCCGCCCACTCAGCCTAGAACAATAAGCTTTGTTCATGTACACTCTGGTTCAAACAATGCGTCAGTAGTCTCCGCTAGCAAAGAATCCAAGGACTGATTCCAAGGGCGTTAAGCAGAAGTTGTCTCTCCCGAAACCACGGGTAACTTTGCGCCCTTGTTATCACACATCCTACCGTTTGTAGGTGGTAAGCTCAGAGGTATAGTGTCGTACCTCAGCGGGAAGATGTACGGCATGATTCTTAATCAGACGCTTATAGATAGATTGGATGTATCTAACAAATGAGCACGTGTGCCGCAGTGGTTAGAGGCGCTCTGCTATGCAATGGTCATTCAATATGATCGGTGGTTCGGTCGCACGTTCAAGTCTCATAAGCCTTTCTTCTTTCGGAGTCGGTGAACTGGTACCAGACTTCTCTGCGAGGATAGCTGCACTGACTTGGTATATCGGTAGCTTCGCGAGCCGTTGTAAAAGCCAGTTTAGCATTCATTACCTACCCCAAACGAAGCCAAATATTGAAGACGAATAGATAGCGCATCCTTCAGGGTCTGGTTGACGCCGAGAGCTCTGTCCTCTTATAACTAATAACAAATGACATATAACAGTAGTTTCAGGGCCTCCATCATTTGTTTTCATAGAGTATGCAAGCATTTAACTTGAGAACGCGATCAACAGCGCGAGACCCTATGGTCCAATTTGTCATCCACATTCAGCACTGGATTCTTCAACAAACTTCGAATCTTGTAGTAAGCATTACGAGCGTCCTTCTCGAAGATTTTCAAGGCACAGTTTTCGAGAAGTTTATGGGCTGATGAGAGGGCCATTTCACATAAGTGGTTATCCAAGACCATTGCACCAATCATTAATGAAGTTCGGACTTTCCGCCTAAAGGCATAATTTCGCGAACATCCAGCTTTCATTGACAGAATGACGTTGTGTCAAAAATAATGCAGCTGTTGTTACCTATTATTCAATTGGTCATATGCGCTGATTTTCACGAACGAAGTTACTATTACCAAACTGAGCTTTTCCTTTGAACTAATTCCGACTAAAGCGATGACTGCAATTACGTGTCGGCTTCACCT